ATGAAACTGTTTCATGTATTTCTCTAAAATTAAAATAATGAAGATGATAATATCCATGATTAACACCCTCCACAATAAAAATGGTTAACCAACCTCTCATAATTACAAAAAAATGAACAAAATGAAAAATTATTATTGGTTGAATGAGGTTTTCACGGTTTTTACAAATTGAGTGGTTTTTTATTTGAACGCTCCCCTATATATATATATATATATATATATATATATATATAGAGAGAGAGAGAGAGAGAGAGAGAGAGATAATCTTCATGTTGTAAACTCAACATTTATGGTCCAATTAAAAAAATATAAGTCCAAGACATTAGATTTTTGGTTTTCATTTCTCAATTGTCCGTTACCTAAATTGACAAAAATGGGTCGAAAATCAATATCCAAAGTTTCAAATCATCCATTGACTTGCTCAATGTTTGTCCAAAAATCAATTATTGTTGGTGGACTTATATAATTTTGTTCAACTTGCTCAATGTTTTTTTAATTTTTGAGATAGATGCTACTTTTATAATTCGGTATAGTATATTTTTTTTAATAATGCTACATGGGTAGATATTTCTATTTTGGAGATATATGTTGTATCTTTTTAGTTTAGGCCCATAATAGCCTAAACCAGTCAAACCAGACCCCTGGTTTGACCGGTTTGGTCGCTTGCTGTGAAACTGCTTGGTTTGGAAATTTTCATAAACTGACATTACGGTTTGGTTTGTGGTTTGGAGGGTTAAACCGCCAAATCGGACCACAAACACCACTAGGGTGCTTCTTGATTTCTCTCCTAAGTTCATGCATAATCTTGAAGGGTCTAGAATAATCTGGCCTCTCGGGAAACCTTCCTATGGAAGTGACACTGAGGATCTAAGTGATCTAAACTAGTTTGGCAGTATATTAAAATTAGGAAAAAAAAAAACTTATCTATCATCATTTCTCATTCTAAATATGTTCTTTAAAATGGTGTTAGCCTTCCTTGTATGTACCATAGAGCTCATGAAACACAATAAGAGTACTAGAAAAGATGGTAGATGTAAGCAAATTGTCGAATCATGTAAATCATGTCCTTGATTTTTCTATTTCACTAAAAAGTAGTGTTTATGACTATCAATCCTAGCAAGCATGCAAGCACAAAATCAATAGTTTTCCCTTGGTCTCTCTCCCCTTGAGGTCTACAAAACAAGTTTTAGAATTTCAGCCCATACAAAAGTTGAAAAAGAATATTAAAAATGCAAGTATAAAGCAGGTTTTCTACCATACAAACCACAAGGATAACTCATAACAGTACGAAGATCTAGTAGCCACATGCAAATGATACCATAAGTCTAAACACTGAAGGATAATAAGAAAATTCAACCATGAAAAAGCAATATATTTCTGTAATTGCACAACAAAAGAACTCCTACCTTTCATTGGAGATCTGTATGCTCGTGAATTGTGTGTTCCACTGTTCCAGTACTTCAAGCCAAGATTGAAGCCCTTCATGGTCTTTCCTGAAATCACAAAGCACTTGTACAATACGATAAAATCTGAAGAAAAAAATGTATATAACTAACTTGAGCAAAAGAGATACATCCTAATTGTATTGATAGAGACTGGAATCACTGAATGCAGAAACTCAAATTTATATCTCAATAATTGACCAAGGAAGCAAAAATAGGGCATGATTTCTTCTCAAATTAGAGGTATAAACTAATGTTGATAGATTACAAGAAATATTATCCACAAGAGGAAAAAGACCGAACTCAAGCTAATGCGGAAGACGAGAATTCTGCAATTGTGCTGAAGCTACATTGTGGAACTGTGTAGATGCCACATTCTGGAACATAGTCGGTACTACACCATGCAAGTGAGGTGGCATCATGTTGTGAAACTGTAACAGCCGCGTGTTAGGAAGTTCCTGCAACAGACATGGAAAACACATAACGAGTTAGCCAAACAAGAAACTACAAGTACTAGTAAAAACTTGAAATCATGTACAAGCCCAACTATAGTTCTTCACTTAAAGAATAGAAGGAAAAATTGAACGCTGTGCTGCTTACTATCAACTAAAATATTTCAGCAGAACATGGATCATAGCAGTTACTCACAGCCATTAATGGCATATGGTACCCGACCCCAGTACCAACCAAGGGCTTCGTGTGCCTCCAACCTGCCCGAAGCACGGCTTTGGCTCAACAGAATGTCGTCAGATACAGGAGAAAGTAAAACACTGACCAGAAGCCGTAAACAGGGGATGATAAGGAACATTCAGAATCTGTAAACAACTTGAAGTTGAACGTCCAAATTCTTTTCATCTCTACTAGTGTACCTCGTCGGTTTACCTCTCCAGCCTGGGAACTAGCATATGAACTACCAGGGAAGAGGTATACTAGCAGGGAGAGAATGTATCTAAAGTCTTCAAGTTGTTAAGAGATTTAAAATGCTCCTTATCACCCCCAATTTGTAGGTAATGGCCCATCTGCTTTTACATCCCATAAAGCAATTTTTTATGATATGTTGAGCCATGCTCCAGTCTGATGTATGGCCCTTGATTGGTCCTCGAGTTGGGTAGCATATACCCTCACCCACCTACTCCCAAATATGTAAAAGCTACACACCAGCCTACTCAAACAAAAATGCATGTATGGAAGTTCTGCAACGGGAGGGATGCTCATATGCTTGTGGTGCTGCCTACTTGTCTCTCATGTGGTGCCATTATTCCGACCTTTATGCATCTAAGTTAGTTTTCAACAAAATGCTAATCAAATATTCACTTTGATCTTGTAGTGGGATTGATAAAAAGAAGCTCGCTTTAAGTTATGCTTTCATTCTTTGACATATTTAGATTGGTTACAACTGACAGCCCATATAACAATTGGACATTGTTTCAACAGCTAATGAATTCTTCAAGAAGCACCAATACTGTGAAGCGCATTTATAATACATATGCATGATAAGCATGGATGAGCAAGACAAACCATTTGGTGAAAACTGGCATCAATCCCGATGTTTACAACTTCTGGCTGTGCAGGTACCTGATCCATGTCAGATAAGCTTATTTAGACAGATGTGAACTTGAAGTCATGAAAGATGGAAAAACATGTAGATCATTCCAAAGAAAATAAAAAAACCTTCTCTTTAACAATTGCAGTGTTATCGTATTTTGACTTTTCTTTCCCAGATTCTGTTCTCTTAACACCTTTGTTCAACTTGTTCACATTTAAGTTTGGCACTGGCTCTTTAGAAACTGTAGCTACACCTTGGTCTTCTTCCTCAGTACCATAAATGCCGAGAGACGTGGATGTTGAAGGTCTTAATTCATTCTCAGCAGAGTTATTTGCATTTGAGCATTGCAGCAAAGCGTCTTTTATGGCACTTAATGCAATCTTGTAACTCTCTTGTGAAATCGACCCCTCTTCACCCAAAATGATAGCCCGACGACACAAATCATTAAAGCGGCGGGTCTTTGTTTGTACATTTTCCAATTTTTCACTAATAGGATACCTACTTGCAGCTGCATTTGTCCATCTTTGCAGTACATATTTGAACGGGATAGTGAAAACACCAGACATTTGGAGAACAACAACAGCATGCCTGCACAGATAACCTTTAAATTCAAATGAACGGCAAGAACAACAGATATCCAACTGTGTTCCATTCCATTCCACCATGTAATCCTGACTACTTTCAAAGTCTTTTACAATATATGTTATTGAATTTCCATCTTCTTTTTCTATCTTAAGATGGCATGCAGCAGCTCCCAAAACCTCAACTTGGAACTTCTTAAAGATCTCATGAGTATATACAATAGACAACTGTTTTTCAAAGGGTGATGGAGATTTTAACTCAGGTGCCTCGTGCCAGGCATCAAAATCTGCTTTGGCTTGTTCTTCATACCTATCTTCCATGATGACTTTGTATTGTTCTACAAAGTCTCTCAAAGAAGTTTCTGCATGGATATATTTGTCAAAGAAGGAGGTTGGACTCTGAGATCGAGAAGGTGTAGACAACCCAGCAAGAGATATATTTTTTATAAACGTAGGTGCCCAAAGTTTGCGATCTTGGTACAATGATTGAAACCACGTATCGTCACCAAGATTAAATTTGTTGACTAGTTTCGCCCACCTCCTGTCAAATTCTTCGTCAGTCCAAGACTTGTGTATGCATTTACCAAACTTTGCCATGAAAGTATCATGCCACGGGTTCAAATAATCAAGCTGCCTTGAAACCTTTTCCAGCACATGCCAAAGACCATAACAGTGACGTGTCTCGGGGAAAACTGCCGCAATAGCTGTTTCTATAGAATTGCTCTGATCACTAAGTATTACATTTGGAGCCCGGCTGCCTATTGCCAAATACCATGTCTGAAATAACCAAATGAATGTGAATAATGTCTCATCTGAAATCAATGCACACCCAAGCAATGTAGGCTGACAATGCTGGTTGACTCCAATAAAAAGAACCAATGGTAATTTGTATTTGTTCACGAAATACGTAGTGTCAAAAGAAACCGCATCACTAAAGTTCGTATAATCATCCATGCCCTTGGCATCAACCCAGAAGACATTTCTCAGTTGATGTTCTTCATTTAAATCCACTGCATAAAAGAATTTTGGATTCTCTTCCTGCATGGTTACAAAGAGTTCAAGAAGAAGCTGCGCATCTCCCTCCTCCAGTGTCAAATTACGACCCCTGTCATTTTGATTTCGAATATAATTCTCCAAACCGCTACATTGATATACACCATATTGTTTGGACATGGCAGCTAATATCGTTTTTCTACGTACCTTAGCATCATTCTTAAGTGGATCAGAATTCCTGTGGCTACGGAAAAAATGTGACTGAGATGGCAAAAGTTCATGGTTATGCTCCTTTATGAAACTATGAATGTACCATTTCCCATTTGGTTTTCTCTTGACATGCATACTTGCCTTACAACCTATCTTAGGTGATGGTCGTGGATTGATTGCATCATCAGATTGTTGTTTGTTTCCATATCTTATGCAAGAAAACTTAGCATCGATGAACTCCTTTGATGCCCTAGAACGACGACTGCTCAGTTTGGCCGTTCCAAACCCCACAGATTTGGCATATTCTTTGTAAAACTCATATGCTGCCTCATTTGAATCAAACTCCATATTGTCTTGAGGTTCTGAGTTAGGAACCCCTGAAACAGCAGTAACGTTCATATTTGCAGTGGCAATGCTCAGCTGTTGTCCAATTTAACCACAATAGAGGTTCACATTTGGTCTATCACTTTTAGTGATACATGAATTCGTGTCTCGGTGATCCCTCATGGATAACCTAGACCTAGAAAGACCAAAACTCAAATCAATATCAATTATATTGTAAGTACTACATTTCCTACTTAAGAACACATCAAATTAATGATAAAAAGCATCTCAATCATCAAAAACATACTATACCCTCCCTCCCTCACAGTGAAAGAGCTACACTTCCAATTTCCATGTCATATCTAATACTATCCAAAAAAGTAATTCATATGACCGGTGATGGAACTTAGCACAATTTTTATGTCACTTCCTAATGTAGTTGGCAATCTTTCTAGGGAACTTCAAATTTTGAACTGAACATGGAGGCGTTTGACAAAAAATCGTAAAAGTATCATGAATCGACGATCCAGACATAACAACCTGAACTATAAATGTAAGCGTGCGTAACATCAAAACTTTAAACTACTATACGAGTCTTCAACTTGTTTAATAGCTTCAATCATCAAAAATCATACGTAAAAACGGAAATAACTAAATCCAATTACCGGCAAATAGACGAGATGTGATGAGAAAGATTCCACCAAAATTACGGATAGATCAAGAGAGATATGAAGAGCTACCGAAGATATGGAGATGTAGGTAGCAAGATTTCAATTGAGATCACAAGGTTGCAGATGTATTCGCAGTTTCAGTAATTTTAGGGTTTCTCTGTTAATTTGGGGGAGGAAGAAGAAGAAAGAAGGTTTAAAAAAGAAAAAAGTGGGTCACAGTTCGATCGGTTTCCCGACTCGCGGTTGTCTTAGCTTTAGAGTGCACTTGTAATTAGGGACTGACACGTGTCATCATTTGGTTGAAGAAAGGGTCATTGAATTAATATGAAAGCCTTCCCAGCACCCTCCGTGTACGTTGACCATGGTTTTATGCAATGTTCTTACAAAAATGCGTCATTATACGCGACCTTCTCATCATATTAACCACCTTCGGATGGATACAAATGGGTCGAGTGTGGCTTAATGGATTGTATAAGCCTTATAGCTTATTCGCTTAGCTATAAAAAGTTGTTTGGTTGCGGCTTATTTGCTTAGCCGAGGGCTTAATTGGTCAGCTAGAAACCATTTGTCGTTTACACTCAACCATTTAATTTCCCATCTAATTTTCACCTCTTCTTTTTTAGCCCAACTCTACAAACTACAGCCACCGTTGCTCAGGATGAGGGATAGACAACAACATCAACACCGTTGTTTGATTCAACACCTTCGAGGCCTCAAATATGTTCCTCCTTATTCGCCTCTCATTGTTTCTTTGATTTCTCCTATTCCGTGTTCCTTCGATTTCACCACAGTGACAAAGATCAACCTTGGTTCTCCTTATTTCTTTGATTGCACCTCTTCTTTGTTTGGCGTTTCTCTTTTGGTATTCGTAGTGGTTGAACCTCAAATGAGGCGGTGGTTTCTTAAATTAGGTTGACTTCGTTAATTCTTGAACATCAAAGCTCACATAATCAGATAAGTTTACGTAATTCTTTAAGGTAGATTTGGGTGTAATTGATCATGACAATTTTTTTTAATTGGAGTTGAATTTACCTATGATGTATCAATACAGGGGTAAAATGGTCATATATATCATTCAGAGTGTTTATTCAGCACTACAACCAAACAACAACTTATCTATTATCATACATACAGTTTTATCCATACAGATCTTGACAGAGAACAAACCGAACAGCCCCTAAAACGTGGAGCTCGTCATGGGGTGTTATTGCGTGCTACAACATTACAAGTGATATGGTGTCACAAGGCGTGAGGAAAACGTCATGGGGTGTTATAACGCGTTACAACATTATAATGTATATAGATTTTCAGTCTTAAGTCACGACTTGGAAAACGTCATGACCTCGTCATAACTCATAAAGCTTGAGACTTGACCTCGCTGCCACGCTATGTCTCACGTCATTTAGAACTTTGGTTTTATGGGTGTTTGCATTATGATAAAAGGCATTGGCCAGCCAAGCAATATTTTTGAATGGAAGTATTTTTAAAGTGGATCAACGATCCGCAAAATTACAATCTGACCTGAGGAAATCAACACGGTGTGACATAGGGAAAAGTAAATTATGCCGATTTTGGAAATAAAATATAATTTTTTCAAATGGAATTAATTTTGATCTTTAAAATAAATATACATTGCCTTGAAAATGAGAATAAAAAACGAAAATGTTTAAGATCAATTGCCATTGAGAAGGAAAAATAATAACAAAACCAAAATGGAAGAAAAATTAACAAAAAGAATTGTCTTGGAATAATGGTAATTATGTTTATAATTGTATTTGAAGTAAGATTCGCACGTGTGACCAGCGGCAAACTTAGAAGAAAGGGGCGGAGGAAAGGCCCCGAGTCAAAGTCAACTTTTTAAAAGTAACTTAGCTAAAAGAATTACTTCTATGCGTTTAATCCCCGAATAATTTATGACGGTTCCCTCATAGACACAGTCTACTTTTGACGAAACCACCCACTTCCTCGCTTGATCGTCGTTCTCCTTGCATATCGATATCAAGTGTTCATGTCCTTTTAGTTTAAAAACCAGTTTACTTACTTTTAACTTTTTTACATGCTCAAACCAATTCATGTAGAAGAAATTATACAAAACAATGGTATAACTTGTTATTCTGTTAACCGAAATGGTAAAAAAAAAAACTGATCGAAATCGAAACTTATCTTCTTCTGTTAATGAACTGTTTAACCTATAAACTGGATAACCCACAACCGTTTTGGTTCGGGTAAGTTATTCAGCTTCAGATTTCTTTACACCCTTAAAGCCCTCAGTCACCTAAGTTTTTGGATCCGTCACTACATGTGACCTTCGACATATGAGTGTTAATCCTATTATCTCACCCATGTTTAATTCCTATTATAAATTTGGTTTTAATGTATTTAAGAGTACCACTCAAAATCAAGTTTGTGAATCTTTCTCATGCCTAATTTTTTTTCTCGTATAATAACCAAGTGAGTGGGAATACGGGAGCCCACTTGATTCCTAATAGCTTCGCCCCTAGAGATGGGGGCATGAGCATTGTATGTCTCGTAAACTAAACTGCAACGATGCGTTCACGAATTGTTCTTGAGTCGATGCACTTTTAACGAGAATCAAAAGCGTACAAAGTCATGGTTTAATTAAGAAGAAAAGTCAAAACCGTTTGACCAAAAAAAAATTATTATATAGATTTAATACAATATGTTTTTACAAATGGAATCGATCTTGACTTTTTGAGCAATACGCTATTTACATCTTACATCGGACATGTTTTTGGCCAAATTTTACCGTTAGAGGGGACATTTTTGTTGATTTTGTAATCGAGAGAAAATACAACAACGAAATAGATTTGTATAAAGTTCTTACATAAACATGTTTAATTGACGACATCATATACAAATGAATAATAACCGGTCTTCAAGTATTGTCAAAAAAAACCATACGTAGTCTTAACTGTCAAATGTGACTAATTTTATTCCCTTTTCAATTTATTCCAACTGCATATTTTCTTTACATTTGTTTAGTAACGGAATTCTAAAACTAGAAAAACTAGAATTTTGTTATAACAAGAATTGAGCAGATGATAATTTATTGACTTATTCCGGTGTGGCAGCGGTAATAAGCACTTTTGAGTGTTTGGATAAACAGCTTATGCCGATGTCAAACCGGTAATAACGAGTTTTTTGAAAAGTTAAATCATTCTAACTTATAATAAGTTGATAAAGATTTTTATAAAAAACATAATTGTTATAAAAAAAACATAATTATTTCAAATAAGCAATCTCAACGAGTAATTTACTCAATAATATAACTTCCCATATAAAATTGAAAAACCCCAACGGCCACAAGTATAGCGTATTCCCTCTCTCAATTCTTCTTCAAAATTTAAATACATTTCTGAACGGTAAAACGGTTGGATTCCGTCACCGCCATGGAAGACGCCGACGAAGAAATTAACTCCAGAGGGTCCTCCTTTGCACCGCCGACATGGATATCCTTTTCATCATTTCCTCCTCAAGCTTCTCCATCCCCGCGCCGGATCTCCAGCAACTTCACCCCTCCGACCCGACCAGTACGAGCGGCCAAACAGCTAGCTTGGGTGTGTGGAGCTGAAGAAGCAAGCTCAGCTAAATCCATAGGAGGAGGATTGAATTCTGAGGAAGCTGCTGCTTGGGAGCTCTTCAGTCCAATACATAGGGTTCTGATCGTTGCTGTAATTGCCGTTGCAGCTGCCAATTCGAAGAAGAACAAGCAGATTATTCAACTAAAAAAATCTGTCGAAATTAGGGTACGTATTTCAACCAAATTATTCTGTTTACACAATCTAATGCTACAGAAATCATTGTGTTCTTCCGAATTTGATTGTGCGATTTAAATCTTCACAGTACAGATTTTCAGGATGAATTATATCCATTTTAGAGTTAATAAATTGCTCAGATGTCGATCAGAAACTTGCTAAACTATGATCTAGTTATCAATTCTGCTCTAAATTAGGTTTGGAGTTGAACAGCCTCGCTGTTAGGTTAATTGAATGATAGCAGATACTGGATTTTCGATCTTAATTCTGATTGTAATCAATGGATTTTAGGCTTCAAAACCTTTAAATCTGCACTGATTTATATAACTGAAGCTATTAAATTTCAGCATTGATTAATTTAATTGGACTGTTATTGTGTGTCATATGATAGTACTTGTGTATGCTATCTTTTACTTCAATTTTTAATTTAAGAACTGAGATCAATATATGGAATTATAGCATACCGGATTACCAGTAAAGATGCATAATCATTTATGAAATCAATCAATCAATCGTACAAATTTACAAACTGATTTTCATATGTTGTTTCACATATGAAACAATACGTGTAAAAATCAGTATTATTTCATATGTAAAACATTCAGGACTGACTTGTATTTGGGAAAAAAAATCCTGAATATTTCACATATGAAACAACATTGTATAAACATTGTAAACACATGAAAATTGATTTGTTAGTTTGTATGAATTATTAGGTTTGTAAAAGAATGGGACTCTACAGGTAAATTGGCAAAAATCCATCCTTCTTTTTTGATGATTAACCTATAACAGTTTCTTGTATACAGTAGATATGATTCTAAAAGTCCATGTTATTATGGTATTTGATTTGCTTATTTGAGGTTATAAATAACTATCTTTATATTTATTTGGATCTATGAATTTGAATTTGGAAGTTACAACAATTTTTGTATTGATTCTATTATGAGCTAACAAAGATATTATGAATGTACCTTTTTTGTCTCAAAACTATTTTCAGGATCAGGTGCTTTTAGGCATGCAGCAAAAGCTCGAGAGCATATGCAAGCAGGTGGATTGCTTTAAGGATCAGCCCGATATTCCGTCCTATAATTTCATGATTTCGGGTTGTGGGTGTCGGCTATGTGGGAATCATCAACTTCCATCGGTACCTAAAAAGGTAAGAAATCTTGTGGTGACACATAACCTCTCCGTAAGTTTCTTCAAAGCTGAAATGCTGACTTTGGTGCACCAAGGCTCCTTGGATTGTGCTGAGTAGCCTTTTCATGACATTTCTGTAAAGACACTTGTTGGAGTGTTAGGTCGGCTACAGTTACCATTTCTACTTAATATATGTTGAACCCTCTTTTCTTTTTCAAGGGCTCTTTTGAAAAATAATTTAACTAGGTTTCACATATTCTCAAGATAAAAGAGCCAAAGTCTACCGGTGTAGGACTCGATACTCTGAGACAATCTATGCATGTCTAGCCCCCTTCCAACACCCTAGGACAATCTCTTCCCAACTAGCCTCAATGACATGTTGGAGTCCTACATCAGCTAGACTTGGATCATTTCTTCTTGATATGTTAGAACTTCCATTCTCTTCCAAAGGGTTTTTTGAAGAGTAATCTAATAGGGTTCTATATATTCATTTTGGTCATGGGGATCGGCACATATGCCATATATTTGTTGCTTTGAACAAAATAGTCGTTGACGATATTTGTTACTTTTGTGCTAACCCAGGCAAATTCTAGCGCCAAGGCTGTTGATGATGAAGCCATGATCAAGTGTAGAATACCAGTGGAAAATGACACAGAACCAGAAGAATGCCGCATGTCTGATCTGTCGGATTGGGCTCCCAGTGTCAGTTCCACAGTAGATGGTCAGGTAATATCTTCTTTTTTCACATCAAGCGTATAGCCCATTTCTATTCTAGCCTTTCAAGTTTCAATGTAGCTTTTTCATTGTCAATTTGTATACGAAAAACAAGCTATAAGAGCATCTCCAATAACTATGCTAAATTTTTCCTATAATAGAGTATAAAAAGTAAAATCTCTAAGAAAAATTACATTCAACTCCAAAAGCTATTCTATTTTAATAAAATATTCAATAAATTTAATAAAATATTATTTCTCTCTCTTGCGCATTTAATTTTAATAAGTTTAATTGGTTGGATATGATCAAAATATTGTTTCTCTATCTTCTCTAAAGTTTTAGGAATTTCTCTAAATTTATAGATTTTTACAATTTTTATCCCCTTTTCTCCATTTTAGCATAGTTGTTGGAGACGCTCTTAGAATATGCTCCAAGTTTCTAAACATTTCATTGTTCTAACCATGTGCCATGTTTTGAATTCATAAACGTCTGTATCTTGTATAGTGGAGTACTACATCAATTGAATTAGATCTCTGCAAGGAACTTAAAGACAAGGATGCCATAGTCAATGAGCTGTTGGCTTTTCTCAACACAACCGAATCCAATGGTTCTAAGGTATCTTTTGTAACTTTTTCTTACAATAGTTGGTCCGAGTCCGTTAAGCCTTTGTACTTTCATACATTTTTGTTATCGGTATTCTATGTTCTTCTGTACATAAACAGAGAATTTCAGAGTTGGAAGACATTATCCAACACAAAAACATGATAATCACAAAGCTTAGAAAGGATTCGCTCGTTCTTGAGCAGAAGGTACATTTCATTCTTCAAAAATTGCAGTTTCAAACATACAATTCCAATCTTTATCTATTGCATACATATCATTCTGCAGGTCATGCACCTCACAAGGCTTAGGAGAGCCTCGACTTCTAAATCAAGCCTGAGATCAAGAAAACTTCCCACCATGACAGATAATCTAGTTTATGACATGGATAGCACAACCAGTCCATCTTCTGATTCAGATAGCTCTACAAAAAAGCACCAGGTTTCTAGACTGAAGAACGAAGATCAAGTTCTTTCTGTAAAGACCAATAATGACCAAAGCAACACCAGCTCTTCAAGAGGAAAACAAAAAACCAGACAGCCCAATTGTGCTGAACTCATGGTGAAATCAACCAAAAAACCACCCAGGCCAATCAGTCCTCTAAAAGATAAGCCTATGAATCAACAAGCTCATTCATTGAATGTTTCTAGAGATTTTAAGAGTAGAAGTGGTACAACCAAAACTAGAGTTTCATCTTCACATATAAGATGGGTATAGATTAGGCTAAGGTTTTATTAAGCACAAAAATGGCTTGTAAACAAGGAAGTAGCAGTACGTATATATGTGGTGCAAATGTATAATCATTTAAAACAAATATGTTATACTCAGAGAAATCTCATATGAGCTTAAACTCATTTTGAGAACTTCCTTGAATCGATTACCAATGTTCTTTTTGGGCCAAATCACTCAACATTATAGCTTTTGATTTGTAGTTGAAATATTTCAAGATCTTAAAATTTAAAACAGTAATAACACAAATGATCCAAAACATCAAGAGAAATAAGTACTCTATCAGATTGGATTATTAAAATCCATTGAGATACATCACTTTACAGCAACCGCAGATAGAAATCGCAAAACCTAACACAATTCTAGGAACAGAAAAATGGAATACGAGCAAATACCTAACACGATTCTGAAACATACGAAGAACACCGTACCAGATCAAATCGTCAAGCCTATGCTCTCTCCCCACGGATCCTACGAGCAAGTTGAATATCCTTAGGCATAATAGTGACTCTCTTAGCATGAATCGCACAGAGATTAGTATCCTCAAAGAGTCCAACTAAGTACGCCTCAGCCGCCTCCTGAAGTGCAGCAACCGCAGAGCTCTGAAATCGCAGATCCGTTTTGAAATCCTGTGCGATTTCCCTCACAAGCCTCTGGAAAGGTAATTTTCTGATCAACAATTCCGTGCTCTTCTGATACTTTCTGATTTCTCTCAAAGCAACGGTTCCAGGCCTAAATCTGTGTGGCTTCTTCACTCCTCCGGTTGCCGGAGCCGACTTCCTAGCTGCCTTGGTGGCCAGCTGCTTCCTCGGAGCCTTTCCTCCGGTTGATTTCCTCGCCGTCTGCTTAGTACGAGCCATTTGGTATAAAATGATATGTCAGAGAGTGTATAGAAAGGGAGGATTTGGAAGTATGAATATTTGGATGAATGCAAGGATTATATGGAGCCTGGTGGGGTACTTATATTCTTTAAAAAGCGGGAAGTTTTGAATTTTGGAGGTTCTGGGAATTTTGTACACCGTTGGATTGAAAAGAAATCGACGGTCTGTAAGGACGTAGATCACGATCCGTGTGATGTGATTTTACACCAATAAGATCTCGTGATTGATGTGGGAGCCGTTCTCTCTCACTCTTTTTTAATTTTATTATATATTTTCCTAAAAACTAGAAGTTATTTATACGTTTAAATGTCTCTAACAAAAATACATGTATACAAGTATACAAACTGGTATCGATTATTATCGGTTGATAATATTGTATCAAGTATACAAACTTGGTTGATAATGGTTGATACACGGTATTGAAAGTCACATACCACAATAATACCATGGTACCAACTTATTTATCTTTCATTAGTTTTTTGTATGTTTATGTATTAGATATTAAACTTTGTAATTTTAATTATTTTATTTGAATGTTTGCAAGTTTAATTCTTGCAATTAAAACTCATTAAACATCACATGTGTTGTCTGAAAACTTAAAATTTGAAAACAAACAAGTTTTCATATTTAACGTGATGCAGGTACAAAACAATACCAACTGAAAAAAGTTGGCACTGATTAAGTCGGTACCAAATACAATTGATTTGTACACGATATAAGATATTGTGTACCAATTATATTTGGTTGGTACATGGTACTGGAGAAAAAAACTTGGTTTCGTACCAACTACCAAGTCCACCCCTACATGTATTGAATTAACTAAGGGGGATTGTTTTCAACTTAATAAGCTTAATGAGTGGTTAACTTAATCAGTTAAGTTAGCCGATGTTATCTTAATGTGTTAAGCTATAAACTTTTTCAAAATTATCTTGTCCTACAGTTTTTAATCAAGTCTCATTAAAAAATAAATAGTTTACTAACATGAATAAACAAAATTGTAATCAAACAATAATACTCTATTTTTTTAATATATTTTAAGTTATTAAGGGGCCGTTTACCAAACACTTACCTGGTAAGTGCTTACCGGTAATATTTAACACTATTAATTACTTACCAAGTAAGGTTTTAGTCCATCAAAACGACATTGTATGCAATAATTCACCCGGTAAGCGTTTCCCGTGGTAAGAGTCAATCGCCCTCACTTACCGGGTAAGACTCATGGTCCTTGTCTCCCTCTTACTGGGTAAGATTTTTAGTCCTTACCATATTCATCCGGTGAGGTAATGTGAGTTGGTAAGCGCTTACCCGGGTAAGTGTTTGGTAAACGACCCATAAATGTGTCTTGAACACGTTGAACTCATATTATTTATGTTGTTTTAAATAATTCATATTCTTTTTGCTATTTCAAATATTTATTTGAATGTTTTTTTTTATTCAACACGTGTGAATACATATAATGTTATAATGGTAATTTTTGTTGTTCAGACCATTTATTCAAGTCAAAAATTCGTGTAACTAACTATAGATAAACATAATCAAATAGAGGATAGATATCTCATTTTAAAATATAAAAAATCTAAAATATAATTAAAAAAAATACTGAGTTCTAATAAAATACTTAATTATTATATTTATAATAATTATATTATTAAACCTGAATTAAGTTATTTCGTTACGATAAATTAAATTATAATAGAACTTTTGAATTAAAAAAATACACAAATAAAAACTTTCAAACAGTTAATTTGATACTAATATTAATATATTTTTTTACAAATTTTATATGATATTTTCAAATTTATATTTTATTCAAAAGAAAAACATTATCGCTTTCTCAAAACCATATATAATCGTATTATATCGACATAGATAAAAAAAAATAAAACAAAATATTAAAATTGAAATGTGTCTCGATGTATTGATAGAGTAAGTCCTTTATATATATATAAAAGAGTTATAGCTATCTTGAATATTTAAGAGAGAATTAATCAAGCATAATGTGTAACCTCTTAAAGCTCATAACCTCCCACATCTTAATATATTAAAAATTAAATCAATTTTTTATTTCTAAATAACACTTTATACCCTTGTAATTAGTGATTTATATTACTTTATATCTCTTACTTTTTAATTTTTAATTTTTCACTTTTATCATATTAACATAAATAATCGTGTGTGTGTATATATATATATATATATATATATATATATATAACATTTGACAAACCTTTTAAAAACCATTTTTTATGCATGAAGTATTGTATATTGATGCATATTACTTAAATTTCAAGATTACAAGTAATTATGCATAAGTACAACTTATTGAAGCTCCATGTTTGAATTTGTGTAACTAATTGTGGATAAACATAATCAAATAGAGAATAAACATCTCATTTTAAAATATAAAAAATCTAAAATATAATTAGAATCATTATCGAGTTATAACAAAATAATTAATTATTATTTTTATAAAAAAAATTATATTATTAAACCAAATATAAATTTTATCGTTATTGAACCTAAATTAAATTATAGTAAAAAAATTAATTAAAAAATTACACAAAAAATATGAATTTTAAATAGTTAATTTGATACTAATATTGATATATTTTTGTCAAATTTTTATGATATTTTCAAGTTTATATTTTATTCAAAAATAAAAACATCATCGTTTTTTCAAAATCACATAAGACCATACTATAACATCGACTGAGATAAAGAATAAAATGAAATATTAAAATGAAGATGTATCTCGCTGCATTGCACGAATACCCTTTCTAGCTAACTAAAATATATTTAAAAATACATTTATTCACAAAGTATACCATAATAATCGTCTCGATAATATTTTCAAATTCAGCTCAACATTGAATATTTTTGCTTTTAATCTTATAACTAAATATCATAAATACCTATGAATTAACTTGTTTTATAGCAAGAACAACAAACGGTATGGTCTAAAAACATTGTTATCGAACTACTCTGTTTCAAATAAAATTTGAGACAATATTGTCGTTTCGGGTAAGTCTTTTTCCTCACTTACCGCATAAGATTCTTGATCTTTTTCTTGTCTTTTACCAGGTAAGATTCTCGGTCCTTGCCTTAGGGGCCGTTTACCAATGCTTACCCGGTAAGCACCTACCATTAATAGTCAACTCTTTCACCTAACTTATTGGTAAAATTTTAGTCCATTAAAACGACATTGTATACTACATTTTATCCGACAAACATTTATTAGGTAAGAGTCATCAGTCTCATATACCAGGTAAGACTCTGGATCCTTATCATCGCTCTTATCGGATAAGATTCTCGATATTTGTTATATTTATCTGATAAGGTAAAATAAGCTGATGAAAACGTTAAGTAACGATTTCTTACTCACCCTCTTTGGAAAATGGCCCTAGATGTCAAATAATTTGAACAAGTGACATCTATCCATTTCATATGTGATAGGTTCTTGTCACTATAAGGGTATTCGTACAATACATCGAGACACGACTTGATTTTAGTATTTCGTTTTATTATTGTTGTATGTCGATATAATACGGTTTTATGTGACTTTGAAAAAACGTTAATATTTATATTTTTGAATAAAATATAAATTTAAAAATATCATAAAATTTTGAATTTTTTTTATCAATATCAGTATCAAATTAATCTTTTTAATAGTTCTTGTGTTTTGGTGTAATTTTCTTAATTTGATTTTTTTAATTATAACTTAATTTAGATTTACTAACAAATAAATTTAATTTAGGTTTAATAATATAATTTTGTATAAAGATAATAACTAAGTATTATGCTAGAAATCAATGATTATCCTAATTATATTTTAGATTTTTTATATTTAAAATGAGATGTTTATCGAATATTTGATTATGTTTATCTACAGTTAGTTATATGAATTCAAATATGGAGCTTTAATAAGTTGTACGTATGCACGATTTACTTGTAATCTTAAATTTTAAGTAATATGCATCAATAAACAGTACTTCATGCATAAAAAATTGTTTTTAAGAGTTTTTGTCAAATGTTTTATAATATAGTATAGATATCATCTCGATTCCGATCAATACCCTAAATGATAAATTACTACTCTTTTGTTAGAAAACGATAAGGCTTTCAGACTACAGATAAATTTATACGGTTTAATTTTTGATCGTTATTAATTATATAAAATACAACACAAATTTAAGAAATTTATGGTGGGATTCAATTATGGGTAAGCTAACCTCATCATATTTGCTAACGTTACACAACCATGGTACACAACACATGTTATTGCAACATATCTCCATGGTACTAATGAGGTTTTCATCTTCATTCCTTTCAATTTTTTCATCAAATCCATTCGTTTTCTTCGAATTTTCGATCTCCCTGGACAATTCTTGATCATCTCGATATAAGTTTGCATGTCGTGAACGCACAAAATGTCATCGATCTTGAAGAAATTCATCACATTCATCCCATTTTTCTCACCATGGTCGATTGTAGTATCAGATATTCCGTTGGTTTCATCTTCGTCTTTCTTTTGACGATCGAGAACCAACTCGATACCGACATGAGCATAACTAGCACACCCCCAAACCCTAAAAGTCTCATTGAATATAAATCCTGGGAGTTTCGTTATAGGATCGTTCGCGTTAACGATTCTAAGAACTTTCACTCCCAACTCCTCACACCGTTCCTTGAAATGGACGTTCCCAACTCTCGGCCCTGCAAATGAAAAAACCGTTAACGAAACGGTGGGTCGTTTTAGTCCTAGTTCCGCGATGTCATATGCGAGTAGCAGAGCTAGGGAACTACCCATGCTATGTCCTGCTAACGTTATGCTCAGTTCTTCATTTTTATACCTTCTTAAAAGCCGAGAAACTTCTGAAAGAAGCTGTTCTCGACAACTTTGGAGACCAAACCTGATGTTCGTCTCGGAAGAAGTGTAGAGGTTGAGGAATCCAGCCTCCACCATGATATCAGGTTTGGGATCATCAGGATCCAACCTGGCAGGAGATAGCAAACTCATTAAGTTTGCTATCCACTCGGGATAAGTAACTGTCCCACGGAAAGTTACCAAAATATCCCTCCTCCCAATCCTCTTCATCTCTTCATCTGATGACACCGCAATGTACCCCACCCACCGGGCGGACGAACCACCATTCTGGATCGGAATGCTGATGTCAGCGGTGGCGTAAACATACTTGGTAACCTCATAACCCGAGTCACCCAACCCTACCTCCGAAAACAGGCGGTTCTTGCCGTACTTGCAGTTCAGGTAGCGGCTCGAATTAGGGTTCAGATCAAAAGCATCGTAGCAGGCGGTGACAAACTTTCCGTATCGGATGATTTCACGTTGGAGAAGAGGATTTAAGGGTTGAATGAGATCTTCCCAGTTGTTTAAACCTTGAACATCTCTCCAGTTAAGAGCTAAACAGCTTGGAGGAACAGAAGAAACCCTAGTTGCAGATGAAAGTGATGAGGGTAAAGACGTAATTTGAACAGTAGTACTACAACAGATCTTCTTGGTGAAATTAGACCTAGAAGAGTATCGTCTTTCTGGGGTGTTGATCATGGCAGGATCAACAGCTGGGAACTTAACAAGATTGATCATGCATGGATTGTTCATCATCACGTTAAGCAAAGATTTACAAGCCATGCGGGCAAGAGAAAGATCAATGAAATTAATCTAAGGAAGGTCTTGACTCACGATGAAGCAAAGCTCAACAATGGAGAAGAGAAGCCATACATGTCTGTATCTATATATATATATATATGTGTGTGTGTGTATGTGTGTGTCTGCTTGTATGTACATACACACTGATCACATATAGGTAAAGGATGTCAACCTTTCCTCAGAAAATGCAAAATATATGGACGAAAATGGAAAACAGTGTCATATATTTTTTGTATAAAATGATATATTTTTTATACTTTTAAGACATTTGAATCCTAAAAGGTGCGTTTAATTATTGCTGCATAAATTTTAGTGGATGTTTGCATAATTAGCGTTTTTAACATATAAATTGGTTTTGCATTATTTTATACCTTAAAAATAAAATAAAAAGGTAATTCTTTACATATGGATCCAAGTTGTTTACATAAATGCTTATTTAATATCTATCTGTAAGCACGGATACTAATGAGTTGAGTTGATCGAGTTAAAAACATATCAACAACTCAATTTAATGTTTGCTGTTTGAAAAAATCTTAACTCAACCCAAACCGTATGGGTTGGTCGGGTTGATACTTTGGTATATTAAAATATTCTTCAAACCTTGAATATGTTATTTCTCTACTCATAATTTATTTTTCATCATCAACTAATTGATACAACTTATTCATACTTCTTAAATCTTACGTATATCGCATTCAATTAATTTTCCCAATTTACATATATATGTTCACGGTTACTAAACATATATACGAATGAGTTATATATAGATGGAGAATAGATTGAAAATATGTGTATATGAAAAAGGCACGTGATAGTGTAATTGTCTAATGTATTAAATCCAAGAAATACAAGGATATCGAGTTCATCAGGTTGAGTTGGGTTCAAATAATAATAACCCAATTTCAACTCAATTCCTACGGTTTGGAAATTTTACAACTCGATTAGACATCGAGTTGCTTCGTGTTAAGTTATTTTGTGTTGGGTTAGGTTGGTCAGGTTTTTGAGCAACCTTACTTGTAAAAATCACCACTTTAATCTTATTTTATCAGGATTGTAGCTTATCAAAATAGTATTGTATACAACAATTTACCATGTAAATACAAGATTTTCTTGAATTACAAAAAAAACAAAGGTGATGTTTTATAGGAAAACGTACGTTTTCAAGGGACTTAAAGAAAAACAATAATTTAATTAGTAATTAAAAAAATAGGGAAAGAGAAGCAAGTCGCATGGATGGCGAGGAGTTTGACCGGAATTAAATAAAAGAAGGGAATCAGGAAATTTGGTTGGATTAGTGGTCGGTGGGGTTTAAAACAATTAATTTGAATGTTGCGGCTGAGAGTTGAAAACCACAGCGGGAAGCATAATTATAAGCCTCATCACTTGTTTCTTCTTCCTCTTTCTTTTCTCCTTTTTTTAAATTAATATATTTTATACAAAATATTTATATTTTGTTTAAATAAATATTTTATTTAAATTAATTATCCCATCAGATGTTTTATATGATGATTGTTCATATTAATCATTTTCATTATAAACTTTTTCTTGCTTCGTATATTTAGTGGGTGTTTAAGATTGCTTACAAAACAACTTATTGACTTGTTTCGATGTGATATCCGTAATAATCACTTTTGAGTGTTTAGATAAACAGCTTGTATCAGTGCCAAACCGATAATAAGAAGTTTTTGAAGAAGTTAAACCATGTTAAGTTATAATAAGTTAATAAGGAGTTTCATAAGTTGTTTCAAATAACACTTAATAAAATATGTTTTACATTTTGAGTGAATCAGATATTGTAGTAAAAAAAAGTTTAACAAAATACTCTTTTTTTCTTTATACAAATTATATTGAAAGGTAACTAGTCTGATAGTAACCGGTAAATTTTATATTATATGAAGGTTAAATGTGTAAATCTCATCAATATTAATAAGTGTGTGTGAGTATTGACCGTATATAAAAGTTAGAGCCCCCCATGTGTGAGAATATGTGAAACCTTATATTAATCTCCAAAAGAGCCTTTGAGGAGAGAAGGGAATTCCAACATATATAAAGAAAAATTGTCCAAGTCTAGCTGATGTGGGACTCTAACACCATGTTCACTTTATATACAGTAAAGTGAGTAGGGGTATAATTTGTATATGTCGGATAAATTTTTGTTCGAGAAAAGTTCATTGAATAGTATAAATGTTTGAAGATGCAAACAATTTAGCGATCAACCATCCTTAAAACAAAAGTAAAAACCGCATAACCCTTAGGCCACTTAAAATCTACTATCACCAATAAGAGAGCAATACAAAGTTTGTCCTAGATAAATCATCAAGATGTATGGAATCAAAATAAACCAGACACAAAAAAGCATCACCTAGAATTAATATTCTATCGATGTTTGCACTTTGTGGTCCAACAATAAGTGACCAAACGCTACAAAGACGTTCCATTAATTTACAACTGGAGAAAATAATGGATGTACGATTCTACACTGTTACCACCTAAAGAGCTTGATTCTTTTGCTCCATCATCTACAGCCCCACAGATTATAGATTGTGAGGTTAAGGACAATGATGACACAAAAACATAAGGTTGACTTATGTTAAATGACTTCAAGTAGCAAAAGTTAAGCGGAAATGATAGGTTGTATGCAACTTCTATGAGAAGAAATTAAGAAGAAGAAACGAAAATGTGACCAAACATTTACACGAACATTTCAATATATGTCATCCCAGAAAGCATCATAGCATAAAACAACCCTAATAAGAAAACAGATGGAGCTGCTCGAGTTGGTGCTCAATCATTTGATCTGTAATTCTCAAGAGAAGAACTTGTTAAAAAGACAATCTTGTATCAGTATCCATTTAACATGGTGGGACATATTGAACTTAGAAGTTGTGAACTTGATTAACTCATCGTTCAAGCATGTCTCTTGACCTACTCATAGAAGTGATGATATTCTACAGATATACGAGAGTTAGAAGACCAGCACTGAGAAATTTTTTGAGAATCAATCATGGTATTATTGGTATATTTGCAAAGACAACGACATGTGGACAGCCATCGTCCACAGACCAGAAAAGAGGCCACATGATAGTAACTACACCCCTATCATAAAGTTTTCATAATAAAATTATAAGGTTTATTGTTTTTATATTCTATTGTAGGATTAACATATACACCCTTCAAGCTCAAAAATTCCTACAAGCAGCCAGCGGGTGGATCGGGGAAATGGGAGAAGAACAACTTTTTCGCAAGGAAGGGATCAACTACGAGTACAAAATGCTTTTCACATACAAGTCGGATAATACGATATAATGCTAACGCACTAACAAAAGAGTTGATGGAGTGTCTGATTGCATGCTTTCTATTGATCTTGTAAGTTATCTACTACTTGTATTCAGATAATTGTGGTCTTAATATATTCATGATGGATAAGATGAAGGAAAACATATGAAATGATCATTTACTATTGAAAGGGGAATTACTTCATATTAAATGTTATGCGCATGTCTTAATTTTGATTGTTTAACAAGGAATAGGTGCGTTTAAGTTGGGATATGAATTATTTATCATGGTGTAATTTATTGGACTGTAACACCTAAATGAAAAGATTTGAGATGGTTAAGTATCGATTATTTATTTCAAGTAAGAAAAAGTTCTTGATTGTAAAAGCAGGTAAATTTAGACTCATATGTTACTAATTAGCAGTTTTTCCGTATATAAAAATGCTTAATTATATGGTACACACTGAAAGAACTGTTGATCGAGATTGGCTTTTTATCAAAATTGATGCATGACAAGTTGAAATTCCGTTTACACTATGACTTTAATGTTTTATGGGGCCAAATTTACAACTACTGATATTTTTCTATAAATTTGTGAATTCCAGTTGGTATTTAGTGAGTGTCTTAGATCATGACATGTGGATACCAAAGTGATGGTTAAATTGAGGAATTTTAGCAAATATTGGTTTGTCATACAAATAATAATAGTCTTAACTGCTACTTTCGGTTTAAGATTTAAAATTAAGCAGTTTGATTATATTATTTCCCCAAATGTATGGTTTCGAGTCCCGAATATATAATCGAGCAAATCAGAAAGTTGATTTACAGTTTGGTTAAAGAATACAAACGAAATAATGATGAAGAAACTCTTTGTAATTTCTCATTGCATAGTTCTGAATGGATGAGAATTCTTTTCTCTAGAACCCGCTAGGATTAATGGGGTGGATTGTTTCCTGAACCGTTCTGGACGATCTTGATGCAAGACTTCGAACCTAAGTTTTGAAGATCAATGCCTTACTCGGAGATCCGAAGATCCATTCTGCACATACGATATGTCACTTTAACGATTCAAACCCACAAATATCTTTCTAATTATCACTAGACTCAGATAAATTTTTGAGTTTCAAAATGAGCATAAACCCCAATTTTAATTTCGTGAAAATTCTCACGTTAAAAATACATTTTACAAACGTATATTGATTGTATTTATCGGTTTTATATATTTTAAAGGTAAATTGAAATGGTACCTGATAAATGTTTTTAACAAACGAAAATGTAATTTTTTTCGTAGCTTTTGGTTATTTTAAATAAAATATTAAATTTTAAGGTCACTTTTTTTAAAAGAAAAAAGAAAAGGGATTTGAACAGAATTTTTCTATTTTCCGCCCAACACACATATATATATATATATATATATATATATATATATATATATATATATATATATATGATATATTCACCTGGACATTGGAAGAAATGGCGTGAATCACAACACAACACAACTCTTCTTTTTTATTTATTTATGAGTAAATTACATATTTAGTCCATGTGGTTATATGGGAAGTATAAATTAAGACCTCCAAACAAAATAATTACATCTACATTGTTTCACTTTTAATGGATTAGATCCTTTACCCTAAATCCACTTACGCATACTCCGTTAAATCAAGGGCAATATGATCCTTTTACTTTTTTCTTTTAAAAACA